GAGTCCTTCTGCCTTAGGGGGACAGAAAAGGTGACTGAGGAGGCAGCTCTGACCTCAGTCTGGTGCCTGTCTGCTCTGCCTGTTGCTGGAGGCCAGCTCTGGCTCTCAGACTTATTGCCAAGTGAGATGGTGCTTTTGCTGGTTGGTTGAATTCCAGCACCCAGAAAGGAAGATGGAAGTAGTAATTGGGTTAAAACAGGGCAGAAATATGCCACAGTCTCAAGAACTTTGGGGATTCTACCCACTTAGAGATTTCCTTTTCTTCCTTTTTAATATGAGAAACCAAAGACCCTGGGACACTGGGTGACTTGTCAGAGGTCCCAAACCCACCCCTGCTGGAGCCCAGATGAGACCCATGTGACCTCACTCCCTGACCTGCTGCTGCCTTTTAATCTGTAGCCTGAGGAGACAGAACAGGAAGGAAGGAAGGAAAGAGAGGGGGGAGAAAAGGAAGCTAGGGAGGGAGGGAAGGCAGAAAGGAAGAGAGGGAGGAACAAATGTGGATCAGAACAATTTACTTCGTTGACAGTAAGTTGTAAATTCTTCTTATGCCTCTGAAGTTTCCTGTATTTCCTTGAATTTCCCAGCTTATCAAAGCTACAGGGTATTGTTTTTCTGCATTAAGGACAGAAATCCTTCTGTAATTGCTTGCCCCCTGCATCTCATCTGCCCTATCACACCACCTCTAAGAGGATTTGTGGGAACACAGTGGTTAGGACACTCACTATGAGGTAGAGCAGGGACATGGGACAAGTATCATGATTAATCATTACTGGCTATGAACAAAGGCCTAGTTTATTCTTTAACATGTTGTTCTACCTTTTAGTTACATTAATCAGTTAAATAATACTGCATGTGAGACAAGGGACAAACCTCCAGAGCATAATGAGGACAGAGTACAGATCTCCTTAAAGAAACTACATGTCAATTTTCATGAATAAAGAATGCCAAGGTCTAAATCAACATGACAACCCTGTTCTTAAGACAAAACTTTAAAGGAATTATTAACCACCTGTCTACATTGTGCGTTATACAGACCCCCTACTCCAAAGACTTTATAAAAATCCAAACCCTAAACCTTTACACACACCTCTTCTCTGGAAGTTGCCAGCACTCTCTTTTCTTGAGTGTGTACTTTGCTTTAAACGAAAGCTTCTTGCGGCTTAGCTTATTGTGTTCTGTCTCTGTGTTCTTCCAAGCCTGTAAAGTGGCAAATAAGAGACCCATTTCCATCACCTGTGGTGGTGTCGTTGTTACTTTGCTATTTCATTCAACTCTCTGGTCTTAAATGCAAGTCTTTTCTCTCTCTCTGTTTTATTTCAAACAAGTAGGGAAGTGGCTGCAGAGATCTCTGATTTGGGGGCTTGCATGTTTCTGTGGCCTAGGTGACCTGGATGGAACTGCAGCCATATGATCATGTTCTTTAGTGTCCTGCCTGAATGTCTCTTTTTATGTGTTTTGCAAAGTTCTAAGAATATAAACTCATTCCATCCAGTGTTTCACAGCTAGGGATGTAATTCCCACGCTGTGCAGATTCAAGTGGACTTGGACATCAGTTGATCCTGGTTTTAGGGGTTGGAAAGGGATCTGCCCTCTGCCAAGCAGGAGTTCCATGAACTTCCCTTTCCTCCCTCTGTTCTTTCTTGCTTTCCCCCATGTACATGACTGCTAGAATAAATGAGTGACTCTTCCTGGCATTTTTCAACTTTGACATCTGCTTTTAATTTCTCTTTAAATAAATTCTTTTTTTGCTCACATTTGTTCAACCTGTTGGTGAATTCTTTCTCAATCATAGTCAAGGACCCTCTCCTAGACTGAGGTTTCACCTAGAGTTCAGAGAGAGACCTCTCCAGACAGGACTACCTGGCAACAGCTGGATTGCATAATCCATTCCTAATTTTGTCAGGCCTCCTGCAAGCTCCACTGTCATAATTCACAAGTGGGATTCAAGTGGGATCGATAGAGACATCACGATTCCCTCAACTGGACCCTAAACCAATTATCAGCTAGGAGCTGACTCACACATACTTCTAAAGATTCACTCTTATTATTCACACCTACAAAGAGCTACCTCAATGTAGCCATATGCAAGCGCTTGGCAAAGCAATGTAATATTTAATGACTGGAGGCAGAAGGGTTCAAATCATTCCTGACAGAGAAACCCTCCACCCCACTCTACCCAACTCTGCTTTTTTTCTTGTTTTTTGGACTTTTTTGCTGTTGTTAGTTTCCTTTGCTTTGTTTTGTGTGTGACTAAAGGGAAGCAGCTCTACCCCAGGCTTCCTGGTGGCCTCCTAATCCTTTCTAGCACCTTATTTAAATGCAGTTCATGCAGGACAAAGAGGTGGAGAAGAGGAATTGTCTCAAGGCACGCCACTCCCTAGCCCAGGATCGGACCATCTAAGGCAATGGTGGTGTGCTTTGCATTTGAGCAACTTCAGTGATTTTAAGAAGACTGCAAGTAGCAACCATCTCCTAGGGAATGCACATCTCTCTAAAAATCCCATATTAGAAGTTAATTTAAACAGGTACCTTTTGTCCTTTATCCAAGAAAAGTAGCACATTGACCAAGATCAAAGAGTAAAATCCAGTCTGAAGCACATAGCCCTCTGCTTCACAGTGTAACGTTGTAACAAAGTTAATCAGAAATGTCTTTTTGTGACAGAAGAGTGGTCAGGAAAAGGCACACGGAGGAACTGGGGAGAGAGATTGGCAGGGATTCAGTTAAGTATGCTGTCCGGATTTTTATTCGTTTCTTCCTCCTACACGTCTACACTTCTAGGTTTCTGAATGTAAAGAGGAGGAAAAAAACTCCTGTTAAGCTAACACGGCTTTCGAATACCAAATCGGACACAGTTTGATTCAGATTTTTCAGCAGTGCCCAAACCAAGCTGTCCTCAGGGAGGAAAGCCAGAGGCGGCCAATTAGGAAGGAAGAAATTAAAGGAGAGAATAAAGAAAGGAAAAAAGCGCAGATGAAAGGTCCAGGGGAGAGTGAGTGACAAGACAGGGTAGGCAGCCGGCGGGCTGGCCGCGGAGGAGGAGGCGGCCGCGCGGAGACTGACAGGTGGGTTGCGCGGCCGGAAGGGCGGCGGGCGGGCGAGAGGAACCTCAGCCCCGGCTGCGCGGGCCTCGGCGACGCCTCCAAAACGCGGACGCTGAGGGGGGAGCAGTGAGCGCGCGGGCGCCCGGCGGCTGCGACCGGGGAGGCGGGAGGCGGGTGCGCGGGCTCCCACGCCGGCCTCCAAGCCGCTAGTCCGCTGCCCTCCGCTCTCCGGGGTCTCCTCACCTCCGCCGCGCCGCGGCTTCCCCGGCATCCCGCTGTCTGGGCGGGGAAGCTGCCCCCCTGCGGAGGGGAGGAGCGAGGCCAAGCCGGGCGTCCTCAGGGCGGGCTTCGTCGCGGAGAAGCGGGGACGAGGCCCGGGGATGAGCCGCGGAGGGCGGCGCGGGCCCTGACGCGAGTTGGGGCCGCGACTCTCGGCTGCGAGACGAGCAAGCCCGCGGAGACGCCCTGGCCGGGTGCACGCGCCGGGCGGAGCGCGCAGGTGGGGCTGCGCTCGCGCGGGGCGCCCGGCGCGAGTACCCAGCCGGCCGAAAGATGGGCGCCGGCGCCCTGGGGCTGCGCCCGAGGCTGCTGCCCCAGAGCCTCCCGCGAGCCCGGCGTCCGACCCGTGCTCTGCGCTCATGTATGTAGGCTGGGCGCGCTCTCCCAGGGGTGAGGGTGCATGTTGGGTGTCGGTGCCCAGCGTGCGGGGATGCGCTGGCGGCACTGCCCAGTTTCTCTGCTGGGGTGGGAAGAGCTGCCCCCATTGCCCCCACCGCAAGTTTGTCCTTAGGGACGAATCGCCCCGGTCTGAGGTCCAGCAGGCTGGGACTAGGAGTACGCAGAGGACAGGGATGACCCAGCCCTACTGGACGGAGCTGCGGGGACGGAGCCACCGTGAAAGCAACGAATGGGGGGTGCGGAGGGCGAGGCGGAGAGAGGCTGGGTTGCTAGTGCCCTGAGGCGTCTAGGGTTTTCTCTGCCCCTTTGGGTGGCAGAAACTTTGGGGTCCGGAAAGGTTTTCGGAGAGGGCGATGGTGAGAGGGACCCGCCCGTGCCCCTCCATCCCTGCCTCCCCAACCTCACACCTTGCTGCCCGGACACCTCTGCTCCCCCGTCCAGACCCCCTCTTGGGTAACCGCAACTCGGGGAGCGAGCGCTGCGGTGTGCTGGCTGCGGGCGGGGGACGGGCGGAGAAGCCCGAGCGCTGGGGATCCCGGGCCCCGCCGCCGGGAGTGGTCAGGGACAGCCTTTTGGGCAGAAGGTCTGGGAAGAAGGGCGCGGAGGCAGTATCTGCTCCTGGCACCAGAGGCACTTTAAAAGTTCGAAATGAATCACGGGGTCCCGGGAGTTTTGTGTAACACCCCTCACGCTCCTTTGCCCCAAGCGCCCAAGGCAAGTGAGCGAGAGCTTCCCTCTCCCGCACGGTCGATCGTCTCCAGCAGCCCTGCGAAATTGACTATTTAGTAGCCTCAGGGGAAGTGTGGCTGGGACCTAGGGAGGGGTCCCCGGGCTACGGGATGTTCTCTAGCCGAGCCTTGCAGGGTCGCGGGCACGGCGGCTGCCTTCCCGCGGCTCCGCCACCCGCCCTTGGCCGTCTCCAACGCTAATCACTACTACGTGAGAAACACGGCCGGCCGGCCGGTCGGCGTGTTTCTGGAACTTGGCTTCCAAGTACGTCTCCACATTTGTGATGTCTAAGAAGGCGAGCTGGGCCCCACTGCGGGGCAGGCTGCCCCGCCCAAGGCGCCCAGCGGGGAATGCAGAGCGCGGCCGGAGCCCGGGCGGCGGGGCCGGGAGGGGCCGGGGCGCGCGCGGGCCGCGGGGCTCAGCTGTGCTGCTGTTCTCTCTGCAGGGACGGCGGCTCCCGGCTGGCGGCGGCGCGCCCCCGGGCTGTGAATGCGACTCGCCCCTCGGCCGCGCTCCCCGCCCGCCCGCCCGCCGGGACGTGGTAGGGGATGCTCAGCTCCACTGCCATGGCAGTTGGCGCGCTGTCCAGTTCCCTCCTGGTCACCTGCTGCCTGATGGTGGCTCTGTGCAGTCCGAGCATCCCGCTGGAGAAGCTGGCCCAGGCGCCGGAGCAGCCGGGCCAGGAAAAGCGCGAGCACGCGTCTCGGGACGGCCCGGGGAGGGTGAGCGAGCTCGGGCGCCCAGCTAGGGACGAGGTCGGCAGCAGCCGGGACTGGAAAAGCAAGAGCGGCCGTGGGCCCGCCGGCCGGGAGGCGTGGAGCAAGCAGAAGCAGGCCTGGGCCGCCCAGGGCGGGGGCGTCAAGGCCGGGGACCTGCAGGTGCTGCCCCGCGGAGACACCCCGCAGGGGGAGCCCCTGGCCGCAGCCGCCAAAGACGCGGCGGGCCCGGACCCCGCGCCCACGCCGGAGCCGCCCGAGGAGTACGCGTACCCGGACTACCGCGGCAAGGGCTGCGTGGACGAGAGCGGCTTCGTGTACGCCATCGGAGAGAAGTTCGCGCCCGGGCCTTCGGCCTGCCCGTGCCTGTGCACCGAGGAGGGGCCGCTGTGCGCGCAGCCTGAGTGCCCGCGGTTGCACCCGCGCTGCATCCACGTCGACACTAGCCAGTGCTGCCCTCAGTGTAAGGAGAGGAGGAATTACTGCGAATTCCGGGGCAAGACCTACCAGACTCTGGAGGAGTTCGCGGTAAGAGCGAGCGCCCGCCGGGCCACCTTGCCCTCCCGGGAAGGGGAGAAAGGCCGGTGCACCGTGTGACCCCCTTTGAAGAAGGGGCGCTCTCTGGTTCTCAGAGACGCTCAGACGCTCCAATGAGTCCCTTTAGCACGACCTCTTTTCCAGGGCAAAGGACATCTTTCATAGCAATGTGGCCTATGCACTTTAATTCCTTTAGTTTTCGCTATCAAAGGGTTTCCCTAGAGTGAAGCCCGAGGCCGTGAAGGGACCACCGGAAAACTTACTTTTAACATTAATTTACTGCTACTAATTTTAAAGTGTTGCCGCTGAAATGCTCCACCTGTTTTCAAACACGGTAATTTTCCGTGCCATTTGGGATATATCCTTCAGCTAATAGCTAATTAACGGAGACTATTCATATAAATAAGGCATTTCCCTTGATTATGTGTTAGGGTATCATGCAAATGTATAAAAATTAAAAAAAAATAAATGCTTTCTCATTGGATGCCAAAGCATAGCGGGTGGCAAAAACAAGTTTATGGTTAAAATTTGCTTTATTTGAGATGGGTACTGGTAATTCTTAAAGCACTGGCCATGTCCTGTATGCCTACTGTGTGTCAGGCCCAGGCAGCATTTTTCAGGTGTATTAACTTAGTTAAACTTCATACTGTGCTATAAAGTAGATCATTATCTATTAATTCCAGTTTATGGAGAAGAGGAAACTGAAACAGAATATTTAAATAATGTGTTGAAGGCAACACAGCTGTTAAGAAGCAGGCTTGTGCACTGGGCTAAGCAGTTCTGTCCAACAGTGCAGGCTTTCCCTGCCCCCTAGTCTACTTGAACCACAAACCCTGCCCTGCTGGGGCCGCTGGTTTGCATGGAGATGCTGCCCAGTCCATGCATCTGTCTTGGGGGAAGTCTGAAAGCCCTGCTTCCCACTCGTGGGCCTGGGAGGGGACTGCACAGTTCCTTAGCCATTCCAGACCTGCCAAGGAAGGCTCACTTTATAGCCTCCCCGTACGTGGCCCGTTGACTTAGGAGGCCAGAGAGTCCTGGGCACAAAGGGTACCCCGGCACCTGCAGGCTCCAAAGCTGAGCAGGGAAGGCAGGAAAGGAGGAATCCTTTGGGGAGTTCCTCAGAGCACAGCCTTTGAGATCTGCAGATTCAGGATGTGCCCAGGATTACCTGTGACAGCAGGTAATGAGTTTTAGGAAAGAATTCCCCAGAGTTACAGAAGTATAAAGCTAGGAAGAACAGATCTATAGGTAACATACATGGTAAACACTGGGACTTAGAGTCAGGAAACACAAGTTTCTGTTCCGGCTTTGCCACTAACCAGCGGCGTCACAAGGACAAAATACACCCCCCACCCCCAGCCAGTTTCTTTTTTCTCATCATAAGATAAGGGACCAGCTGTTTCTAAGGTTCATCAGAGCTGTAACAACCTTATGCCCAGGGTATATCTCCAGGTATATCCCTCTTTAATACTCATGAGATGTTCCTTACTTCAGCCCTTTAGAGAAACAAAGACTACTTTGAGGAGAAAGTCATATGTACCAGTCCCCGGCTACACAACAGAAGTAAACCAAGCATTGCCCTCACAATGCTCCCTGAATACTGGGGCCCTGGGCAGAGACCTCTCCAGATGTTTTGGGTGCAGCACCAAAAGGGCTGAGAAAAGGTGGCTATGGGTGCTTGTAAAGCACAGAGGAGGGGACTGTCTGTGCTGTCCTGGGACAGGGCTGTAGGCATGGCCTTGCAAACAATTCTCTGGAGTTTTGTGTTCATAAGGAAATCCATGTGTTATAAGATCAAAGATGAGCAGATAGTTTTTTATTTAATAACATTTTTTGTTTGCACTGCATGTAGTTCCCCAGGCACATTAAAAAATATCCCATGAGGTAGGCTGAGGAATTTGCATTTTGACCTAAAAAGCCCAAACACAACCTGGAACAGTCATTTGTCTCCTAAGGTCACAGGTAGAAGGAAGGATTTGAACTTCTCTTTTAGCAATTTGTTGCTAAGTGCCAGATGCCATGGAGCCGCTTTTGCACTGGGGAAGGGGGATCTCTTGATTTGATTCCTGCTTACAAAAAATGGTCATCAGTAAATAGAGTGTACATCAAACTCTGGAGATGGGAGATGATAGTAAGAAAAGGGAGATTGGCAAGATCCCAAACTTGGGAAAAATTAAGATCAGTGATACTATTTTTGGAGTGTTATGGACATCTTTCATTTTCAAATGACACTTCGTTCTTAACTTTCATCCCATCATTAACAGCTAACTAGGATGTACACATGCATAAATGTTACACAGCTGATGCACATTTTTAATTACATGCCTGCTCCCATCAGACGCACAACTGGGTAAGGATTTCATTGCATATATTGTGTGTGTTCATTTCTGTTAATATCAAGAAAATTTCTAAGCATTTCCCTATTTAGTGTGGTTTTGTGCAAGTCGTTTAGTGCCTAAATTCATGTTTCCTTCCATGTACAAAAAAGGGTGCAGTACTTTGGTGGGGGTGTCAGGTGGATGAATGTACAGGGGCATAGGGTCAGCTGTGAGTCCATGATCAGATTTTCATAATGGAGAATTGTGAGATGCAATTGTTTACATCTCTGGGTATTCCAAGCTTCAGAGAAATATAGCCTGTAGTATGCAAAGCACAAAGTGTATGGAAGTCAGGAAGGGGAGGTATCTGCTGTCTGCAGTGCTTTGCACTTCAATGAAGAAAGGAATTCAGATGGAGGCTGGTACAATAAGGTCACTTGGGACATTGTTCACCAGAGCAAGGCAGGGGTGACTGTGAGGCTGGCCCAGGGCACTTGCCCTGGGAGGCCCACAGGCACTCAACCAGCCTCTGCTTCCTGAGAGTGGGGAAATCATGGTGGAGCGGGGTGCTCCTGTGCATGCTGAGCTAAGAAGCAGCTAGAATCTTCTGTGCCTGTGCCTGACCTTTGGCCCTGGTGAGAGTGCAGCATCTCCCTCCCTTCCTGTGCCTCTTTCATGGGCCCATGTCTGCCTGCTGCCCAGTTTGCCCAGTCGTCGTCATACTTTGATTCCATCTTTCCCCTTGTCTGCATGCTCCTTAGCCCTTTAAAACTCCTATTCCTCACGGCCCATTTGATCTTAGCCTGACACCTGCAGAAGATCGCAACTGCTTCAATGGAACAGCATTAAGCTGCTAATAGTAATTTAAATGATACCCTCATTCCTCCAAAAATGTTTGCAATTTAATTTTATGTCCATATAAAAAATGAATAGAATTTTCCCTATTGCCTCTCAAATTATACCAAGTGTGCTGGTCTTTAGCTTCTACCAGCTGGCCTCCAACTTTGACTAAGGAAGCCTAGTGGTTTGTATTTTTTATATATGAAGAGTATTTCCATGTACTCTCTCCTTCCTAGGGTGTATTCATTGTTAGGGCTGCAATAACAAAGTACAGGCAGCCTGAACAACAAAAAGCGTATTCTTTCATATTTCTGGAGGCTGTAGGCTTGAGATCAGGGTGCGGGTAGCATTAGTTTCTCCCAAGGCCTCTCTCCTTGATGTGCAGACGGCCCCGTGTCCTCCCTTGGTTGTCCCTCTGTGCGTGTCTATGTCCTCATCTCCTCTTCTTGTAAGAACACCAGGCAGATTGGATTGGGGACAGCCTATGTAGCTTATTTACCTTAATTACCTCTGTGAAGACCCTGTCTCCAAGTACAGACCCATTCTGAAGTCCCGGGGATTTGGGCTTCAGCATCTGATCTGGGGAGGCGGAAAACAGTCCCGCCTGTGGCACCAGGTGTCAGTGGCCAGAGCTGACCTCATAAGTGTGGGCCCAAGGAGCTAATGTGGGGGGAGGATGCATCACAACTATGACTGGAAGGAAGACTTCAAAAAGAAGGCACAGAGTGGTCCGTAATAAGCTAAATGCCTGATAGACGTAAGCAAGCAGCTTCCCTCAACCACACTGACTCCATGTCTACTGAATTCTGGGTTACTTAGAGGTTACTGTACTACTTATGTCAGTGGGTCCTTGAATCAGAGATGGACAATAGATGTTGAGGAAGGGTTCTACTGAGCAGTTTAATGTTTGCATCTAATGACTATGGGACAGGCTGGCAGCAAATCAAATTTGAAATTCATTAACAAAAAAGGATTCCATTCTGAGCCACAAAGGGAGTTGTTCCTCCCCTGGGAACACTGATCCCCTGGGGGACTGTGAAGATAGAAATGGGGTCTGCAGGCTGGCTTTAGAGTTTTTAGAATCAAATAGACTTATGTGGCTTCCTGAGATAAGGCCATACTGGGTAACTGAAACTTCACATTTCTTTGCTTTTGGTTGGGAGGATATATCAGCGCAGTGTGTCCACACTCTTATCATAGCTGATCAGGAGCTCTGATTGGCAATTGTATAAGTCTTTGAAAAAAAAAGAGACAATGAATTATTAATAGAAGATGCTTGCTGGTATGTCTTTCAAAGGATAGCGACTGTTCATTGAGAGAGAGCTGGAAGGAGCAATTGGCAGTGAAATAACTGGGGAGGGCCTGGTTAATCCAGACCCTCTCCTATGGCTTCAGTACCTGACGTGTGAGTAACCCTGTTGCAAAATCTCATTTCTAGAGTTTTATTAATGAAAACAAAAATCTAACATGAAATTTGTAAAGTAAAGCTCCATCTCAATAGATCTCTATTGCAATTACGAGCAAGTGCCAGGAAAGAAAGGCATGATTCCTCATAATTTTTAGCTCAATGGTGTTTAGATTCTTTCGGCTGATATTACTTAACATAAAGCAATACCACTATTATATGCCTTTGCAAAGTTTGCAAATTCTAGACTTCTCAGTTTCTTCCTTTCTGTTTAAAACCATTTAAACAATAATAATTTTTTAAAAAGTGCTGGGGGAATCCCTATGGTTTCTCTGCTTCCCTAACTCAGGTAGGGGAAACACAGCTTGAATGGTTACTCATTTACATGTGCCACAAAATATTTGATTTGTAAATACTATGGGGTAAAC